AAGCAGCTTATACCCATAGTCGACTCTTGTTATCATGAGATGGATCTCCGTCAACTTGACTTTTCTGCGTTGCCTCTGCCAAAGATTTGCAGTGTAAGTTTGCTCTCGTAATTGGGCTTTGTTATCGAGTCGAGTGCGAGTTCGAGCTCGAGCTCGAATGTGAATGGCATGCGCCTGTAACGTGTGCAGGGAGCGCAGCTTAGGCTCTAAACTGTTTGATATTGCGACTGTCAAGTATAATTCTGATAAGCTCATGGAGCAGGCAGCTTCTAATTTGCGTGTAGCTGCAATAGTCAGACAAAAGTCATATTTGGCCAACGGCGGGCGGGGCACGGCAACAGGCAAACAAACGAATAAGCAGAAAGAAAAACAAACAATAATAAACAAGTAAGAAAGCTCTAGTCGAGTCTACTCGACTACGAGATCCCCTGAACCCTTGGAGCTATTTCAATAATTTTTCGCGTCTTTCAGCTTACACAAGAAACACGCACACACACACACACACACACGCACGCACGCACACAGGCATACATACACACACATACATACACACACACATACATACACACACACACATACACACACACATACACATACAAGCAACCACGCATAAACACGCATGGGCGGCAGTGAGCGGCTACTATGAGAACTTAATTGCTTAATAACTTTTTTGTGGACGTACGATCTTCATGAAACTTTCAGATTATGATTATGACATGGATATGCATGTAATTGCCAAAGCACAAGTCTCTAGTATTTGAAATACGCTTTTTACAAAAGTGAGGGTGAGGGGGTGAATTTAAGGGTGGGGGTAAATTTTAACAAAAACCGAAATTGCATAAATTGCATATAGGCATACATTAAAAATTTGGAGACTCTAGCAATAAAGGTGTAGAAGATATAATTTTATAACTGGTTTTCGATAAGGTTTTTTATCGATAAAAAAAGATCGGGATGAGTTATCGATTTTTAATGATAAACTTGTTAATCATGATTCGCTAATTAATGTCGCGAGATCAACTCCTTTCTCCTTACCTGAGGATATATATCATCCCACTTTAGAGGTTTTATTAACTATCGACAATCCTCCCTCTAATACTCCAATGCCTTCTAAACTTAGTCGCTGTTATCGTAAATGCAATTTCGTTTTGCTTAACGAACTAATTAATTCAACAGACTGGTCTATTTTATATGAGTCGGTTGATATTAATTTAGCATCATCGTTTTTTTATTCTACCTTAAACTCTATTCTGGATGTTTGTGTCCCTCTCCGCCGTATTTCGCCAGTTTCAAATAAGCCACCTTGGTTCACCAAAACTCTTTCGAACTTGAGAAACATTAAAACTAAATGTTTTAAAAATTACAAAAAGTCTGGTTCAAGTATTGACTGGTCCAAATATTCCATTGCCAAGTCAAACTTCAATCTTTTAAATTCTAGCTGTTATGAGAATTATCTTACACGTTGCAAACGTCAGTTTACTCGTGATCCCAAACAATTTTTCTCATTTGTAAACTCGAAGCGTAAATCCTCTGGTTTGCCGTCCTCATTTGTCCTTGGAGGTGAAAAAACATGCAATGATCAGGATTCCTCTGATCTATTTGCTGATTTTTTTCAATCCACTTATTCTTCTGCTGATCTCTACAGCAACTCATATCCTTATTCTCTTCCTGAATATGGATCTATAAATACTCCCAAAGTTACTGCATCCTCTCTGGCTGCAGCCATTAAGACATTGAAATCATCTTTCTCTCCTGGTGCTGATAATATTCCTAGTTGTGTGATTAAAGAGTGCAGTGTTTCTCTTCAGTCACAATTACTAAAATTGTTTAACTTGTCCTTGGATACTTCTGTGTTCCCTTCAATTTGGAAAGAATCTTTCATCATTCCCTTATATAAAAAAGGTGGAAGATCTGATATTTCCAATTATAGAGGCATCGCGAAATTATCTGCTATTCCGAAGTTATTTGAGAAAATCATAACATCGGCCTTGCAGCATTTTTGCAAATCGATTATTCAACCATCTCAACATGGTTTTGTTCAAAATCGATCTACGTCCTCTAATTTACTTGAGTTCACGTCGCTTGTTAATGACAGCTTTTCCAAAAAAATGCAAACCGATGTTATTTATACGGACTTCAGTAAAGCATTTGACTCAGTACATCATTACATACTAATTCTTAAGCTTGAACGCTTAGGATTTTCACCCAGTCTTGTCTCTTGGATTTCATCCTATTTAACGGGTAGAACCCAAAGAGTCTTGCTGAGAACAGCTATGTCTAAACTTATCTTTGTTTCGTCTGGTGTACCTCAGGGTAGCCATTTGGGCCCATTGCTCTTTTCCCTTTTTATAAATGACCTTCCTAGTTGTATCTCGTATTCCACTATATTTATGTATGCTGATGATGTAAAACTTTGCCTTCCATACTCCAGGGCAAATGGACATCTTCACCTTCAAGATGACCTAAATGCATTTCAACTTTGGTGTGTGGCAAACCAGCTTGACCTAAATTGCTCAAAGTGTATGACAATGACCTTCAGTCGTACCGTTCCTCTAATTGTTGATTATAAAATTAGCAATAATTCCTTACGACGCATCTTTACAGTCAAAGATCTTGGTGTATTCTTTGACTGTAAACTTAACTTTAATCTTCATATTTCTACCATAATTAATGAAGCCAAAAGTGCGCTTGGCTTTATTAAACGTTGGTCTAAGGAATTTAAAGATCCTTTTATTACCAAGCGCTTATTTACTTCGCTTGTGCGTCCTATCCTAGTGTATTGTTCTGTCGTATGGTCTCCGCAACATAAACTGTATCAGGATCGTATCGAATCGGTCCAAAAACAGTTTCTTCTCTTTGCCTTAAGAGACCTTAGATGGGACAGTAATTTACGATTACCGTCTTATCATAGTAGGCTCCAGCTAATTGATCTTCCATCGCTAACCAATCGCAGAACAATTTTAGGAATTGTTTTTCTGCATAAATTGATTAGTGGTGATATTGATTCGTCCTCTTTGTTGGGTCGTCTAAATTTTTTGGTTCCGTCCCGAGCAACTAGACACTATCGTCCGCTTCATTTACCTGTGTGCACTAGGGATTATTCTTTGCACAGTGCGTTTCATGTTCTTTGTGTTAATTTTAATAAATATTATCACGTTTTTTCCTTAGAGCTCTCTCCTCCTAAAATAAAAAGTGTACTATCAGCTTATCTTAGGGAAATCACTCACAATGCCCAGGCATAAGCATTGGCATACGCTTTTGCTGCTAATGTTGTGTTAGTGATTTCTCAATTCTATTCTTATACTCTATTTTTGGCTCTTCCATTACTCTTTTCTTTTTATTATTTCTTATTCTTTTTATTAACTTTTTCTTGCAACTTCTCTTATTACCGGCCTTTTTTTTTCTTTTTCTATACTTTACCTCTTCTTATTTTATTCTTTTTTTCTTTTTTATTATTGTTTTTTTTAACTCCTTTTATTTATTTATTTATTTTATTTTATTTTTTTATTATTATTATTATTTTTTTATTTTTTATTATTATTTTAAGAATTATTTTAAGTATGCTAAATATTGTTTAATAACCTACATTTTAATATTTTATTTTTTTAAGTTTTCTTACTAACACTTTCTTTTCATAGCTTCAATAGTATCACTGACCATATTTGGCTGTGAGACGTGGGCATAGCCGGCCGGACTGGCAAATAAAATACCCCCATCGGGTTGGTGTTACTATTGAAATTATATCGTGTACTTTGTATAGGCTTTTTTAAATTAAAATTGACTCTCATTTTTGTCAATAGCTTTAAGAAAATAAATAAATAAATAAATATGCGCGCTGTAATTACGAACATTTTAAAAAAAATTTGAAGTCTCTAGCTCTTATATCTTCTGAAATCGACGCGTTCATACATACGGACAGACGGACAGACGGACGGACGGACAGACGGACAGACAGACGGACAGGGCCAAATCAACTCAGCTCGTCGCCCTGATCAAGAATATATATACTTTGTGGGGTCTGCCACGCCTCCTTCTGCCTGTTACATACATTTCAACAAAACCATTATACCCTGATTTCCCATTGAAAATGGGTTCAGGGTATAAACAGAGCGAGAGTGAGAGAGGAGTTGGGTGGGGAGGACAAGGGGGGATGGCTGGGTGGCTGTGCAGCCGATGCAGTGCAGCCACTTGAATGCATTTCAACAACGTTGTTCCCGGCTAATCCGCAAAGACAACCAAATCCGAGAGGCCCGCACAATATCCCGACACTTGGCTGGCTTTGTTGCATTGTTGTTGTTGTTACTGTTGTTGTTGCTGTTGTTGTTACTGTTTTTGTTGTTTGCGTTGTAAATGAAAATGAAAATGAAAATGCGCCACTCCGATTCGGATTCGGATTTAATATTACACAAAAGCCATACAGGGAACAAAGCGCATTTGAGAATCGCCGAGCACCGAGCACCGAGCGCCAAGCGCCGAGCGCCGAGCTCTGAGTGCTAAGAGCGTTGGGCTTTTTGATGAATGCCAATTGTGAAAAGCTGTTGAAAGACAATCGCCATAATTGGTTAGAATGATTTTGTAGTTTGTTGGCTTGTAGTTTTGTAGTTTTGTAGTTTTTCAGCAGCTATTTGAATGATTGCAAAGTCAGCGCTCGAAATTCGAAAAGTAATTTACATTCCCCCGCGAGCTCTGCGCCCTCCGAGGGACACGACGAGCGGGCAAATTGAAAGCCAAATGTCAAAGGAAAAGGACAAGTGCCAGTCGAACTTTGTCCCCATCAGGGCTAATTAACAAATGAATTCCACTTATTGCCATTATGAGTTGCCCATTCAGCTCACTTTTTAATGAGCTGCCAGTGCGACAGCTTTCAATTGGATTGAAGTTCGATTTCAATTTTTTCGCTGGCCCAATTAGCTGAGAGCTGAGAGCTGAAAGCTGAGAACTGAGAACTGAGCGCTGAGAGCTGCGTTGGCTGCTCCATTCACTTCGTATATCCAACTTACCGTGACGCGCCTCCTCGCCCTCGGGTGCATGCTGTGTGATTGTATTGAGCTCCTCCTCCAGGTCGACATGACAATCGGATACGTCCCAGGACAGGAAACCTGCATATGACAAAAGAAATGGAAAAGAAATCAGGTGATAAGTCGCGTACCAAAGCATCACAAAAGGCATAGAAATGAGGCGAATTCAATTCAATTGAATTGAATCCATTTATGTTAAGCTACGTGTGATGGCAATATTGCCATTAAGCTAAGAGATGTATTAAAAGCAGTTAGTCTTTAAATATATATATGGTTTATTTTTTAGCTCAGTTTCTTAAGCTTTTATGGCTTTAGATTTGTAATAAATACAATTGGTAAAAGATATCTTTAATAGCTTAATTTATCATAAGTCTGCAGGCTGCTAAGCCAAGATTCAAGCTTTATCCCATCAAATTATTATTCACTCGATGCACTGCGAATGGAGAATCAAACTTTGGTTTTTTGTTAAATGTAAAAATGAATGCGTGGTCTATCCCTTAAAGTATATGCATATATTCTTGATTCCTTAGAGTATATACATACATATATTCTTGATCAGGATGACGAACTGAGTCGATTAAGCAATGCCCTGTCTGCTCGTCCATCTATCTGTTCGTTCATCGGTCTGACCGTCCCTCCGTAACTTTATCGGTACGTCCATCCCTCCGTTCATATGTCTTTCTACTTGTCTGCGTGAATGCAGCAATCCCTAGGCTAATAAAAATATGTACCTCCGCAATTCGAGCTAATCATTATTTTTCGATAAAAATCGATAATTTTACTAAATAATTATAATCTGGCTTTCAAGATATGATTAAGACAGTCTAAGCGAGAGCATGATTTGTTCCTATAGTAAAGCCCAGATTCTGTGTGAAAAAAAGAATTTCTTTGCAGAGTCTTGGATATCTCATAGTCGAGCAGTTACCGTTCTTTCTTCTTTGATTGCGATTTTCTCGTAATGTCCTCAGCTAATTATTACCTGGCACAATTCGAGTTTGACTAGCTCAGAGTTTATAGCCCTATTTCAGCTATTGGCCTGGAAATAAATAGCTCTGAGCTCATTAGACATAAACAGGGCACATTTCATTGGCTTATCTCAGTCCGTACGCTGCCTGAATATCAATGCTAATTGCTGGACATCTTCTTCCTCTTCTTCATTCTTAATGAGAGCTAATAATGCTGGGCATGTCGTATCGTATTCGGCAATTACGTATTACTTGTCTAAAGTGCATCCGCACTAAATGTTGACCAGCTGCCATAACGATGCTTGGCTCATTTATCAAAATATATGCATACATACGTTTAATATATATTTGTGTGTGTGCGTGTAGTTGATAAATTTTTCATTAATTTTATAATTACAGAATGTGCCATGAGACGTTGTTATTCAGTAACTTTTTGTTTTTGCCATTTTGATAAATGGCCAACATGAGACAACAAAAACGCAGAAGTTGCGACTCTTCCTTCGCGTTACGTATACGTCATATGGCACACATCACACATACACACACGCACACAGAGTCAGCAGTGTCTTTGTTTTTGCGTTTTGTGCTTCCCCTCTCTTTGATATTTAGTTGGCCCGCATAGAATTGCTTTATATATATATATATCTATATATAGCCGAGCTATGTATGTGCCAGTGCCAATGCCAGTTGGCCTCTTTGGGTATTATGTCATTTAGTAAACAAATTAAGTCAGCCTTCACTCACTGGGTGTGTGTATGCGTATATGTGTGTGTGTGTGTGTGTGTGTGTGTGTACATTGTACTTCAGTGTAAGTATTTGCAAATACACATACCAAAATAGTTGGCTCTTCAACCAGAAACAAAAAATGAAAAGTGCATCATTAGCATTTCCTTTTCGGTGTACCACAAACTATTTGCCTGGCATTTTTGCTTGTTTTTTTTTTTTTTTTTTTTTTTTTTGCAAATGGCTAACAGCAAAATGAAATGAATTTCAAATAACTAGTAAATGTTTGCCTGCACTTGGATGTAGCTGCAGTTGTAGCCTGAAGCTGCTTTAAGAGCTCTGCACTCCACTCTAATTGCTAAATGTTCGCCTTTTCTTCTTCATGCCTTCGTTTCATTCTCTCCTGTGTGCTTGTTCGCTTCGGAACCTATTCAAAGTGAGAGAGCAAGAGCGAGCGCTAGAGTCTGCGGAGTCCCATTTTGTAGCTTGGGGACGGCCAGGCAGCTGGAATTTAATGAGCGGCAGACACGAGTTCTTTTCGTGCACACTGCAATGAATAACTTATTATAATGATGCCTTAATGAGCGCTTAACTTTCATTTTTGATGCCGGCTGGCCCGCAGACGTTAATGTGCATAAAGCCGACGCAAATGAAGCTGTCAACTCGAGTCAAGTGTCGGCCGGCCAGGACCACAGCAATCGACTGAGTCAGAGGCCACAAAACTGATATTCTGTCAAGTCGATCTACGAAAGTCCATGTTAAAGCTGCTGTTCAATTTGACACTGACTGCTAGGAAATACATATGTGTATGTGTCACTGATTCTATTTAGCAGAAAGTGTCTCTTCCTGTCCCTAACATTTAATCTCTATCTCGCTCACTATCTATCTCTCTATTTATTTCTCTATCCATCTCTCTCTATCTTCCTCTATGGTCAAGTTTTTATCTAGGCTTTAAGTCTCTCACTCTGTTCCTCATTCCTTATCTTTCTCTCTCTATACAATTGCCAACTATAAATAATAATTTTTGTTTTCTCACTACTACAAATCGTCTCATTTATCATGCCAACTCACAAGCAATGCAAAACTCAATGTTAAAGCTGCTGTTAAACTTATGACAGCTGCTTTCAATTTGCCGCTGACTGCCAGAAATTATACTCCAGTTTGACATGTTTGCATTCACTATATACTAAAATGCCATAAATTGCTACTATCTTTAACTGTCCTCCCTCTCTCTCTCTCTTTCTTTGTCTCCTCTCTCTATCATCTCTCAATTCGAAAGTCTATGTTAAAGCTGCTGTTCAATTTGATACTGATTGCTTCTGTTTGACTGATTCCTTCTAATTAGTATTAAACAACGAGGTGCTAAATGGTAACAAATTGTCAACAATTTCTCTTCTCTCTCTCTCTCTCCCTCTCTCTCTCTCTCTCTCTCTCATTCTCTTCCTTTATCCAATTGTTAACTAAAACCAAATTGTTTTCCAAGCGTTTCCAATCATCGCATTCGATTTGCCATGTCCTTTTGGCTGCTCTAAGCCCCATTTGTCTGCTGCCATGGTGGCATAGCTAGTAGCCAGCTACTGCTGCTGCTGCTGCTGCTGCTTCTTCTTTCTCTTAGCTGCACACTGTTGAGCAATTTGCACAAATGGCTGGCAGCAGCAACAAAAGGCAATGGCACAAAACGAACAAATTCAAAGCGAAGAAGAGCAAAAAAATAATGAAATGCGCAAAAAACAACAACAAGTTGAGCATGCGGCATAAAAATGTAAAATCTTAACACTTTTTACACACACACGCACACACACACATTCACAAACACATACACACACATGAGTCGGATCAGTATATTGTGCGGGCAAACAAAAAAAGCTGCACAACAATAGGGATAAAGACGGAAGGGTCGTGGGAAAGGCAGCGCCCAAAGCGCCTACAGCGATTGCACAAAAATAATGAGGAAACGCGCAGGATGTACACACACACACACACACACACACACGCATGTTTATATATATATATATATATATATATATATATATATATAGCTGTGTTGGACGCTCTCTTGAGCAATCATCGGGCGAATGAAGCCACTCAGACGCTGGGAACAGCGCACAGAAACGTACCTCGCCGTCTGGAGCTGAGTCTGAGGCTAGGTGGCGCCACTGTGCCGTGCTTTGTGTGTATGGGTGTCTGTGTGTGTGAGTGTGTGATTGTTCGCACACTCATTTAGTATTTATGCGTTGATATCTGCGAGTGAGTCTTCAATTTTTCATGTGCACGCCCCTGTATGTGCGTGTGTGTGTGTGTGTGTGTGTGTGTGTGTATATGTGTGTGTGAAGCTGGCACTCATTTATTTATATAATTTCTTGCTCAGCTTCGCTTCAATGTCAAGTGTTTAATTTGCAACCTTTGCATTTCGTGTGCGCGCCTTTGTTTTATTACTGAATTACGCAACGAGCTCAGTGAAATGAACAATCAAATACTCCAGCCAGGCTAATATTGTTAATTATAATTAAGATCTAGTCATTCTCTAGGGGCTCGATGTCTGCGTGCCGTCCTCACGGTCCTCAAGGTGAAACAGCTGTAGATATTTGTGTAATAGAGATTTATGATGATGCCAGATGGTAGACAAGTACCAGAGTCGGCCGTATTCATTTGAGCCTGAGCTGTGGCTTCTGCACTTGGTTTGGCAATATTAATGAGTGCCAGAGCTCGGCTAGATGGGCAATTCAATTCAGCTATAATCAATTTGAGGTTGGCTTGGCCAACACTCATAATAGATGGGCTCAGCTGCCAAACCGAAATAGGTATATTAGGTTTACATGTATATATATATGTATATGTATAAATTATTATATACAAATTACTATAAATAAGGCATCTTCATGCACGTCTGAATATTCAGCTTTCCGTTATCCTTTGCCCATAAATCAGGCCTGTGCCAATTAATTACATTTCTTATCACCAATTATGAATCGCTATTTTCGCTCAAGTTGTTTTGCCACTCCCCACTCCCCACTCTCTCTCTCTCTCTCTCTCTCTCTCTCTCTATGTGTCTCTCTTTCTCTATCGCACCCATTGTGTCCTTGGTCCTTTGATTTTAATTGCCTCGGCTGCCCAACAACAACAGCAACAACAACAACAATAACAACTCAGCCGCACCCCAATCGCCCCAGTCACCCGGTCTGTTGGGCAATCAGCTCTCGTCGTCTATCCGTCGTCCGCTTATCGTCATCGCTGCTTGCTTATCAGCTGTGTCCAATCAGGCACCGTATTGTTTTCCATACTCATTTTCATTTTCGTTTTCATTTTCCTGCACGTTTTCTCACTCTTTAAATTTGCGCCTTCGCTTTTATCTCGACTTTTAGCTGAGCCACTGAAATGTTTACGACCAGCAGC